GGGGCTGCAGGCAGGAGTGAGCGTGAAGTTGTGATGGTTGGAAGGAATCTGATTTGCTGAATTGCTTGAGTGGAAAGATTTATTTTGAAACTTGAAATGAATCATCGCAAACTCCAGCAGGAAAGGAGTGCTTTGAAAAGTCTATCCAAAACCATGCAAAAATAAGCAAAGTGGGATTCTTGGACGCTTTCTAAGGAATGTGTGACGTGCTCACACCTTCTCAAAAATATTTCTTCTCAACAATTATGTGCCCAAGTGAACAGCACTGATATGTACCCAAGCCTCTCTCCATGGATGGTGAAGAGAGAATTTCTAGTAAAACCTTTGTGACATAATCCATATAGTATAAAACAATAAAACTATAGGGACTGTGTCTTCCAGGCAAGCAAAACTCCAGGGCTTTGAGTGTGGTCAGGTGGCTGAGGGACACCTTTGGGCAGGACTTGGGGGTGCAGGGACACCTGAAGGCACTCTTCTGTTAGCCTGGGGTCTCCCAAGCTTTGAAAGTGCCCTGGTTTGTTTCAAGTTGGTGCCACACGTTCCCATGCTTCTTTGGGGGGTGGGGCGAATACATCCTTCTAAATGGCAATTCAAAATGTAATGAGAACTCGTATATTTAAGACGGTAAATCAGCACACGTAAAAAAGAAATCCAATCGGTTGCCATGTCCAGGTCCTCTCAGACTGCAATCTTTCTTGATTTCCGCCACCGACCCCACCCCCGACCCTGATAACCCCACACTCGTGTTTCCTACGCAGCAGCCTACCTTCTTCAGAGGCAAACCCACCACATAACTCTCCTCTTCACCGAAAACATCCCCTCCTGGGTTGTGATGATCTTACTGTCACTAAACTTCTTTGCTCTGCTTTCCAGCCACTTCTCCCATTAACCCTCCATGTCATAGCTGTCTTGACAAGGGGTGATGTCGTTGACCCCCGAGGGGACATTGGAAACGTGCGGAGACACGTTTCGATCTATAGTTTCACGAGGGTTAGGGGCTGGGGTGCATGCTCAGTGTCCAGAAATGCTCATCAGGGCTGAGCCCAAGTGTCATCTCCTCTCACGAGCCACTGGTAACTCCAAACGAAAGGCATCCTTCTCCCAGCCCTTGGAAACCTGATCGCACTTTATCTGTACTTTCCTTGAGATAGTTGTTTGCTGCCCTGTGCTGGGATTATCCACGTGTGAATCTAATCTCCCTCATCAGACTACGATATATCTGTTACCCAGAGAGCCCATTGCGGTGTCCGGGGCATAAATATTACGTGAACAATAATGGATCGTTTTTGCTGTGTGCTAACAGTGAGAATTTAGAAATGAATTCTAAAGTATTCATTCGGTTTGTTAGAAGTCGACTAATGATCAGGAACACCAATGGTCTTCCGTCGTTCTGTGCCGAACGTACTTAACATTTGCAATTTACGTTAACTTAAACTGTTTCACTCAATAGGTTAATGTTTACAACACAACTAAGAAAACCTCTAGGCTGAAGGCTTAATAAAGACAATGAAATAATGACATTGATGATAATGATGATAACAATACAAATTGGATAAAAACCATCCTATTGGCTGGCTGCCAGGCAGACGGCTACATGGTAGGGAAGCCAGTAAGGGCGGCGGAAGCTAATTTGAAATTCTTTCGGCATCTCAGGTAAATCAGAAACGGCTGGAAGTCTCTCCCCTTTTATGTGTCCATCGGACATATTGCTGCTCATCGCC